GGCTGAGGAGGAGGCCTGGAATTTTCACTTGGGGACCCAGAGTTTAGACATTTACACAGTACCATGAGCTCTTTACACAACTCTTCCCAGCGATACAAAACACTGCACAATGAATCTCTGCTCTGTGCATCTATCTCCCCTGCTAGGCAAAGAGTTGGACCATGCCTGTCCCCAGCATCTGGCACAGTACTTGTTTGGTCCTTACAAAGCTTTGTTGAATTAAATTGAAACAAAAACCCATGTGGTTTATGCCATTTCTCACAGGCAGAAAGGCTAAACATTTTTTTTTAAAAGGAGAACAAAACTTTAGAACTGTCTGAGACTCAAGAGAAAAGACCTTAAAAGAATGAGAATGGCATTCTAAGACAGAGGTCAGCAAAGTACGGCCAAATCTGGCCTGTTGCCTGTTTCTGCAAATAAAGTTTTATTGGAACACAGCCACACTCATTCATCTGCATTATGACTGCTTTCACACTTTAATAGCAGAGTTGAGTACTTGTTACAGAGACTTTATGCCCCACGACATAAGGAAGGCAATGAGGAGAAAGAAGGACTAATTTGTCAAAATAATACTGTATATTTCCATCTGTATATTACACCTGGGAACTAACTGATACCCCTTTTGAAAATTATCTGCAAGCTTACATACTTTAGAAATGCAATACTATCTACTAAAAACCATGCTCTCCGATTACAGACCCTACTGAAAATAAGGAAGCAGGTTATGAAACCATTTATGAAGCTGACACCCTTTTGGAATTAATTTTCCTTACCTATGGTTCTTCTATGTGATTTCTCATGCATAGCACAAAAGTACTGAATAACTCTGATTATTACTAAATATATCTCACACTACCACTCTCTCAACTTTAACAGAGGTAAAATTATACACATCAGATCATCCTATGAAATATGGTAATACAGAATAACAATTTATTCAAACTATATCCATCCCCATTAGCTTGTTGTTACATATCATACAAATGAACCTTTCTTTCAAATGTTTAAATATTTAAGAGTGGCTACTACATTTTTTTGCTTTTTTTAATTTCATGATTAACTCCTTTTTTTGTTTTTAGCATTGAAATTAAAATATGCATTTTCTGAAGCCTGAAATTATGCCCAATGCAGCTCAAATACCTTCTATAATATCACTAAATGTGACAAACTTATGAGACACCTAAATAGGTATACCCTTGGGATTCTAAAATATAATGTTTTTCATATTTAACAAAAATGCAGTAATTTGAAAATGTATTAAAAATAGGTATACTGAAGTGCTTGTCTTTCACTATAGGGGAAAAAAAAGATTAAAGAAAAAAGGGAAAAACTGTGTGATCCACTGCCTCCCCTTTTCCCCACCCCACTAGGACATCAGCGGTTCTCAACCTGTGGGTCGTGACCACTTTGGGGGTCGAACAATCCTTTCACAGGGGTCACCTAAATACATCCTGCATATCAGATATTTACATTACGATTCATAACAGTAGCAAAATTACAGTTATGAAGTAGCAACAAAAATAATTTTATGGTTGGGGGTCACCACAACATGAGGAAATGTATTAACAGGTCGCGGCATTAGGAAGGTTGAGAACCACTGCTCTAGATACTGAGCTCCCACTGGGCACAAATGTAGTGGCCTCAGCAGCGTCTGCTTCTAAACTGTAGGTAAATTCCTCCCAGACTATGGTGTATAACATTTGCATAACACAGGATGTCAGCTTTGCCTCTTGGGAGGAAAACTGTATCTAATTTAACAGCCCTTGTGAAAATGGGCACTCTTTCAGATCGACCAGGAAGGTCAAGGCTGAAGGTCAAACCCTACTCAGGAATTGAAGTGCATAGTCTCTTTACCCAGCACAGGTCAGAGTACTCATTCCATCATCAGTCACCACAAAAGCATTCCTGGGGACTTAGGAATGACTCAGGGCAAGCTGTTCCCACACCTTAAAACCACATGCCAGTCCCATGGTTCAAGCAGACGTGGGTGTGGAAAGCCACTGGCCCCACCAGACTTAGGGTCCTGGGGCCCAGGACCCACCACACCGGCCTGTTAATAGGGACATTATCCTCCTGCCCTGAATTTTTCACTGGGTCATTGTGAAACTACCAAATGAAATTCTATGTATACAATTTATAAATAACACAAATACATATATATATATATTTTTTTTTCATATGCGGCAAAGCACATGCTATTGGCATGACTTGCATCTTGTGGTTGATCCTTTTGCTTTCTTCATGCACCTTTAAAAGATGTACACATGTAACCACATGTTTTGTTTTGAACTACAAAGACTTCTTAAGCCCGGGCAGCCCTTTGCTGCCAAGGAAAGCCTGCTCCTCCCACCCTGCTCTTTGGGCTAAGTTGTGGAGCCACAGCCGTGGTATCTGAGTACATTGGCCATCACAGCTTTTTCTTCATTCAAAATTATATCCATGAATGACATCACGAACAATTGCAAATTCAGCAGCACACAAACAACTGATGAATACACAAAAACAATGGCAAATAGCTCCCGGAATAAAATGAATAAACTTGTTTTAATGGGAGAGAAGCAGAACAGAAGTAGAATTGTTTTTCTGGGGGTAACTCTAGGTCATGTAAAGCTAACAGTTCTCAAACGCTGCACAGGGCGCCTTGCCTAGCTGCTTTCTTCACGCCCCGTGGATGGGACAAAACGCCCAAATAGGGGCTCCATGTGTCCCTGCGTAGGCAGCTGCACCAAGGGAGAATGCACAAACTCCTCTTCATGTCGCCTGTGCCCAGCCTGCACGATGGGTTATCAACTAGCTGGGCTCTGATTAGTTGGGGCCACAGGGCATTGCCTCTCTGTTTTCTCTGGCTTCTATACAAAGATGCACCAAAATAGAGATGGACATTTAAATTCCTCTGGTGCAGATAAGAAACGGAGCTGACCCAAGTCCACCGATTCAGCGTGCATGCTCCTCACACACAGGGTAAGAGGAGGGGCGGGGGTGTCTTTCTCAAGCAGCTCACCAGCGCTTCTCAAGCTTCACACCCTCCGCTCCAAACTCATTCCACGGTGCTTTCTTAAGGTGGAAATTCTGTGAAATACCTGGACTGATTTCAGTTTCCAGATCAGCTGAAGAATTAAGTCAGTTTGTAGGATAGCCTGAATTTAGCACCCCTCACAGGAAAGCAGAATATCCCGGAGACCCTGAGTCAGAGAGAGCCAGAAGTGAGGCTGCACACGGCACTGACGTAGCTCCAAGAGATCTAGCTGTCCAAGGTGTACCCCAGGATTTTTTTAAAATAAATTTTTACTGATTTCAGAGAGGGAGGGAGAGAGGGGGAGAGAGATGAAACATCAATGATGAGAGGAAAAATTACTGATCCACTGCCTCCTGCATACCCCACACTGGGGATCGAGCCCGCAATCCGGGCATGTACCCTCACCGGGAACTGAACAGTGACCTCCTGGTTTCATAGGTCAACGCTCAATCACTGAGCCATGCCGGCCAGGCCCAAGGATGGTTTTTACAGACGAAGGCACCGTGTTGCCTAGAAGACACAGAACCAGCTAGCAGCAGGCCTCCCGAACAGTGCCTCCCCCTAGGCCAGGAAAGGCTCTCCAGCATGGCCATGGCATGCCGGTGGAAGGAACTTTCCACCCTGGGGTTTTTCCTTAAAAAAAATAAGAGTAATAACAAGACCTGCCCTCCAAGGAGGTTCTGAGGATTAAATACCATTTGAAAATGTTTTATAAATTATAAGGTGCCTTACAAGTATGTTTGTGTAATCAAGTATGCAATTCTATGACTAAACACTGGCACTTTGATTTCGTAGTTTATCTTGTGCAAATTTCTGGCTGCCTTCCCCACTTCAATTACACCTCGGTATCTTTAATGCACTAGAAAACTTTTAGGGTCCTTCACATCTTATGTACTACTTTTGAGAAAGAAATAGAAGACTAGACATAACCTCACTAAGGAAGATGACATGATGACAAAAGGAGGTGACTTCACTAGAAAAGTTTCAAAATACTACATTCTGTTCCAAAGAGACTACAGCTCCCTTTCACAGTTAAATACGAACGAACATCCTTACGATCCACGGCTGACCAGACTCTCCATGGCCCGCTGTTACCTCTTTCACGTCACTGACTCTCACCCAGCTCCCTCTATGTCAGCCACACAGGTTGACTTTTATCCTGGAACATACTTGCAATCTTCAGCCCCAGGGCCTTTGCATGGTTACTCATTCCCTTTGCCTATATGGATTCTCCCTCTAAATACCTATAAAACTTGCTTCTTCACCGCCTTGAAGTTGTCACCTTCTCCCACTTTATTTTCTAGACCCATGGTTGGCAAACTGTGGCTCACGAGCCACATGCGGCTCTTTGGCCCTTTGAGTGTGGCTCTTCCACAAAATACCACGTGCAGGCACACGTATGGTGAATTGAAACTTCGTGGCCCATGCACAGAAGTCGGTATTTTGTGGAAGAGCCACACTCAAGGGGCCAAAGAGCCACATGTGGCTCGCGAGCCGCAGTTTGCCATGCCGCAGTTTGCCGACCACTGTATTTAGACCATTCATCACCACCTATAATACTTCATATTCTGAACACATTTCAAAATTAAGTTTATTTCCTAGGTTTCAAAGGTAGACTTGAAGACTCAGTACCTTCTGCTTTTTTTCTTTTTCTTTTTAGCTTAGAAACCAAACCCCTTTCTTGTAGCCTGTACTTTAATATATTTCAAAGGAGTGAAATAGTTAAAAAAGCATTTAGCATGTAACAACTGGCCTCTTTGTAATGAAAAAATATGAAAGTGTAATAGTTTGGTTAAATCTGAAAGGTGAAGGGAGCTCTAACCCTTTCTGCCTCTGTCCCTCCTGCCCCAAAGCCCAGCCTTCTACCCTCCCCAGCAGCCCTGAAGTGAAGTTCCTGTCGTTTTTTTGTTTGTTTTTTCTGGAAAGAACAGATAAAAGGTGGGAAAAGGTAAGAATGACAGGAAACTCACCTGGAGCTGACTCCATCAGCCTGATGGGTTGGTAACACAGAGCTGCCCAACCAAACGGGACTGCCCTACTCCGACTACAGTGGCCACTGTGGTGGAAGGCAGGGGGTCCAGCAGCAGCAGGCTTCCAGAGCAGGAGGCACTATGAGTGGAGGGGGCTGCTGCTGGCCAGGAGGCCTCCTCCGCACAGGAGGAGAAGGGGGCTCTCCCGGATAGATCATGGATGTCTGCAAAAATGACGGGATACACACTTTTACAAAAGGCGTCAGAGCCACCCAGGTGCCAGGTGCTTCGTAAGAAAACGCAATCCTATTGGGAAGTTAGTAGGATGATTAAAAATTAAGCAATTCTGAAACATAAACTATAAAAAGAACTAAGACTATATTAAATGTGTGTGGATTCTTTCTGAGAAAAACAGTAACTGAAAATGTTTACTTTCTGTGGAAAGGCCCAGTTGTGTGCAACCAGCAGTATGAACCCCATTTTCTTTTCTTTTTTTAAAAAATATATTTTTATTGAGAGTCAGGGAGAGGGGAGAGATGGAATCATCAATGATGAAAGAGAATCATTCATGGGCTGCCTCCCGCACGCCCCCCCATGGAGATTGAGCATGCAGCCTGGGCACGTGCCCTTGACTGTAATTGAACCCGGGACCCTTCAGTCCGCAGGCCGATGCTGTATCCACAAAGCCAAGCCAGCTAGGGCATGAACCCCATTTTCAATCTGAGCTCTCTCGTGGGTGCAGCTGTGAATGTCTAGGGAATTCACAGGAAGAATTCCTATCACACATTAAAGAGGGAGTGTCTTTTTAAAGCAATACTTAAAGGCGAGCCAGAGAAGAATCAGCAGGCACAGGAAAGGGAGACCAATAAACCAGCCCTGGGAAGTTTCTGGAATACCACCACTGCCAACAAAGACTGGGCACAAAGAGAAAGACTGGAATCGTGAGGAGGCAAGGCTGCCAACAGCTTAGAGCAGGCTGACACCGAGGAGCTAGGACCCCAGCAAAATCAAGCCTATAGTTTCTCAGAGAAGAAAACTGATCCAGAAATGCAGCCTCCTCGAATGCACCCCAAGTCTGTGTAGGGAGGGGGCTCAACGTCTGGATGGTTCCTTCAGAACTTTCGAGCAAGGGCACCCACAGCTCCAGCAGGGATGACCCATTCTTTGTCTTCGGCCAAGAATGCCTGAAGTGTGGGCACCTAACGTAGGGCTCACAGTGGCTGCCCAGAAAGCAGCTGGAGTGGGGTGCTGTCCAAGTGGACTGTAAAGGCGCCCAGGGGACAGAGGCTTGTTTCAGACTTGCCTGTGTCTCCCCGAACATCTACTCCCGTGTTGGTACACAATGGATTCTCAATAAACCGACTGGCTTCAACATCAACCATCTCCCAGCTTTAGGAAATGGCTGCACACCCCCTGACTTCAGAACGTTCCAACTGAACTGCAGGGACCCCGGAGCTGTGAAGATGAATGCTTATCGCCCGGAGTTATTCTAGGAACTTAATTAAATGCTCCATGCCGGGGAAACGTGGATATTTTACTGCTGCGGTTATTTCACTTGGAACTAAGACTACTAATAAACCAGCATTACTGATAAGCTAAACTGCAAATAATGATAAGAGGCAAAACAGAATTAAGGTGAGTCAGTTCTGTGGCATCTTTATAATTTTGATAGGACCCTAAAGACAAAAATGTCATTTGGAAGCTACAGAAATGTTAAACTTGAGAAGAAAATGCTCACTGCAAAACTTTGCCAGAATAAGTAAAATTTTAAAGAATTTCTAAAAAGTCATTCATGTGTATAAGTTTGTCAGGCTTTGCTGTTTAATATATCCACACCATTCATTATTAAAAGTTCTAAATCTGTTTACTCAACCAGTTCAAGTCAGTTTTCTAAAACTGACTATACAATAAATTTACACTCCTGAATTTATATGATCCTAAAGAAGAAAAATATTAGATCTTGCAGTTTTGCAACTAACATATTTTACTAAAGCACAGCTGAATATTTTCAACTGAATTGTGCATTTTTTAGAAGTCCACTTGGTGAAGTAGAGGTTTCACCAAATTTATTTGATATATAGAACTGGAAGAGCATAGATATAGCTTATGGATTTGTTTTGTTCCCTGTGCATATGAAAAGTGTTATTTTTATGTCACTTTTCTGTTGGAAAACAATAAAATAAAACCCCTATGATCATACGAGAATAAAACAGAAGCACAACATGGCCAAAGATCACTTCAGTAATCTTTTTTTAAAGGGGGTGGTATAAGAAACTGGCCACTATTACCTTCCTTTCTAAGAATTTTTGTTGTCTTGTAAGTTCAGAACCCAGTGATGTCCACAGTGTACCAGAATGCTAGTACCTCCATTTCTGATCTTCAAACAAAACCAAGCTGCTCATCATTCTAATCCATGCCTTACTGTCCAGAGTTCTGCCAGCATTATTTGCTTCATTTCTGTCCTATTTGCAAACTTTTCCCCCTACCTCACAATTTCCCTCTAACTCATCCATCCACCAGGGACTCTGGAAGCCAGGAACAAGGCAAGGGATGCAGGAGGCCCTGCTGGGTGTGAAGTGGGCCTGGCAGGGCAGTGGCTGGTGGTGAATCTCACATGATGGGCTTGGGGGTGGCCTCTGCAACAGACCTGGGAACTCATCGGCAGCAGATGGCCACTTACTTCAGTCCCTATTTTCAGTGACTTTCCACCACCAGCATTGGGCAACGTCATCAGCGCTCAATTCCCAGGCCCTCAGCGGAAGGCGAGATTTCACAGACAGCTCTGAACCTTGAGCAGGGAAAGCCTGCTGGGCTTCAATGTGAGGATTCCCTAGAGAGCACATCAGAATCTCCACCCTGTCACCTTTTCTGCCTGACTTGCTAAGCGATCAACAGATAACCTACCTCAAGGATATTCTGAACTTTGCTTTCTTCGTAACCTGAAGAGTAGCTTCATCACGCCGTGCATCCCCAATGGAAGGAGAAAGCCTTCCCCTATTTTGTTGATCCTGTGTGACAGACAGTCTCCAATCCCCTGCCTCTTGTCAACAGAGATGCTGGGTAGAGAACTTGTGCACATTGCTTATCACGGCAGGCGCATGGCCCTGAGGCTGCCATCTGCTAGGAAGGAAGTACTCTCTCCTAGGATGCTGCAGAGACTGACAGCAAATGTAAGCAAAACCCTGAGTCACCGCACGAGCACCACGAGGCCATGGATGCCCAATTACATTTCTGAAAAATATGGGTAGCTTATGTTGTGACTCTTTATGTTTGCTTAGGTCTTCTTTATTCTTTTGCATGTGGGGTTATATTATAGTCACATTAGCAGAAAGGTAGCACCTTTGGGAAAAACATTTCTCTTCATATAATGACTCAATTACATGTTTTCGTTAGGAAAAAAAAAAAGAGGGAGGGCGCCTTTAAAAAAGGACACTGGTAAAAGAATTCACTCCGCAGAATACCTTGCAACAACTCATGACTTACTTATGGGTTCTTAGGCAAATTCTAAATTGGTTAGTTTTCAAATAAACTCATCATTAAATAGGTTAATGACTCATTTCGTAGGAACCTGTTAATGGACTTATTCATAATGAGGAGTATATGATATACTACTTATAGAGTAAATGCATCTTAAAGACACCTCAAGCAGCAACCGAAACACCAAATGACCCCTTAGTGGCCCAGGGTGAACCAATCTACAAAGAGCAAGAACTTACATTTTCCCAAATAGAGGCCTTTTGATCTGAATTATCCCCCAAATTTTATTTCTTCTCCTTTTTATTTCACAAGCACATGAGAGTGTTTAGCAAAACTTCACTCTTCTGCCTCATCAGCAACACGGCTGACATAGTCATGAGCAGCCCTAGTTCCCTGATTAAAACATACTCCTGATTTAGGAACACCTCTGCATTCTCTATTTCTGCCCACTAGCATACCTTGTCTATGCCTGAAAGAATTTACTGAAATGCTCCAAAGTAAAAAGATGGATACCACTTCCCCAAATACTAAATGTTCTAGAGAGAACAGGCCATATTCTGGGAGAAAGTTATTCATCGGTACACAAAGACCTACAGAGACAGAGAATTCCCTATTCTTTCTTGATAATATTTACAAACATCCCTACCAACTAATTAAATCAGTGACCTTGGAAAAGACTCCCAACCTCCCTTGGGCTCTGTTTTCACAACCTTAAAAATAAGTTACATTATACCAACGGTTCCCCTACCCTTTTCCCTCAAAACGACCTTGTATTTTTCCCTGGTTGTCACTACACTGTGTGGAAAGAGTTTTAATGTACTTGGTGGTGGTAGTGATGGGGAGGTATCTTATCAAGTATAATATATATAGTTTGCTTTTCTGAAACAAAAACAGGAGAAGGAATGTAAGTTTTCCACCTTGCAGACCACTGGAAGTCCTGAAAGTGAGACTTAAAAAAAAAACACAAAAACACAAAACACCCTGAACAGATGACCAACCAACCAACTTGATTTGACCCTAAAATCCCCTGACAATATGAGAGCCCTGAAAGTAGTATCAAATCCTAAACTCTTCAGAGGGGACTTTCCTTCAATGTCCTGTCTTTCTGCTTAACTGTCTCCATTTTACTCCAATGAATAATGCACACAGAGAAATGATCACCCAAGTGAAATAAAAAACAAAATGTTATAGGAAAATGCTGGTGAAACAGCATCTTTGTATGAAGCCCAACACTATTCCCTTTGGCTTGAGAATCTTGGGTCAATCACTAGCCCTCTTGAAGCTGCAGGTTCCTTATTTTAAAAATTGGGGCTCCAAGTGGCCCTGTCTATGTTATAAGGTTTTTGGATGATATGTGATACTATACATATGAAAATGTCTTAACACTATGAAGTAAAGAAAAACACCTTTTTGAATTTTAGGCAAATATTCTGATACAAAGGGGAGAGGGGCTTGCACTTACCTTTCAATATTGATCAGAATTAAAAAAAATATATTGATCAGAATAATGGTTACATTTTTGTTGTCTCCAATTTCAATAGCATCCTTTCAAAATCATTCATTGCCCACCGAGTTTTGGTGTTGTTAGTTATACTTAGAATTTGGAGGCAAAAGATCGACTGACTTAAGTAACTACTTTTAAATTTGCATAGAAAAAGCACTATGTCACATTCACAAATACAGGCCAAGTGTAAAGATGCATTTGCTTGCTCGTTTTATAAAGTTTCTGGACATGTAGAAGTGACTT